GTACTGGGCACATTATTTGCCTATGTGGACAGGGGGTTAGCGTCCCACATCATGCAGCACACCTGCCTCTCATTATAGGGGGCGGGGTGGTGTCACATGATGATGAGGGAAGCATATTTAAAGCAGGTGTCATAGCCGATGTGCAATGGCATCGGAGAGGTTTGTCTTTTGGATTATGTGCAGGTAATTGAAATACTGAGGGGGGCATTTGTGGGTCCATAGGTACTATTGGGGGGTTGGTCTGTTTCTTCCCCTTGTTTCACTTTTGTTTTTTAGTGCTCACGTGCAGTTTTGTGTATTTTCACTTATTCATTTTACATCACTTATCTAACACCCCCCAATATAAATACCAGTTAGAAAGATTCCCACAAAGGTGACTCTTTCTCCTCTATTCACTTATGTACATGTTTATATCAGATGCAGCCGAGGTTTGTGCATGCCAACACGACTTGTTTACACTTACCTATTGATTATAATATTATTTAAAGCCACTTCTTTTGGAGAGTAACATATATATATATATATATACATATATACAACATAAAGAGAAAAAAATTGTTATCACGCATATTGACTGAACTATTTAGTCCTTATTACCTATACACCTATACACATACTCTATATACAGGACTCCAAATGTCCTCTCAATTGGCAAGTGAAAATTGTGTGGGGGTGAGTGGAATGTCATCGAGGGGGTGCGCCGCCGGCGGGACCAGGGCTGAAACACTACCGCCACGGCGATTGCTCGCTTCTGCTCTCTCTTCTCCTCCTCTATAGCTGCAGCTAAAGAGCGGCCGAGGAGGAGAAGAGAGAACAGAAGCGAGCAATCGCCTCGGCGGTAGTGTTTCAGCCCTGGTCCCGCCGGCGGCGCACCCCCTCGATGACATTCAGTTCCGCTGTCTTCCCTGCGGCTGTCTTCTGCAGCTTCCTCCGCCCACCTCAGCTGCCATAGGCTGGGAGGAAGACTGCATAGACAGTGACACACCCGGCCAGAAATGTATGCAGCATGGGGAAAGAAAGTTTCCCTACATTCAGGATCTCTGTACCGCCCCCCACTACCACCACCACCAGGAGAAAGAAGACGGCACCTGAAAAACATCAGCTAAGTGCACTCTAAGTCCCTTTTCTTTATTCCTTACACCACGCGACCTCCGCGCTGTGCGTCACACTGACCTCTGCATCGTGCGTCACACTGACCTCTGTGCTGTGCGTTACACTGAGCTCTGCTCGTCACACTGAGCTCTGCGCTGTGTGTCACACTGACCTCTGTACTGCTGATCTCTGTACTCTGCGTCACACCGCTGACCTGGCGGATTTAAGGCCGGGGCAGGGTAGGGGTTAGGTGGGGCAACTGGTGGCGAGTAACTTTTAAGGCCTGGCTAGTAGCTCAGGACTTGACATTTTGAGCCCTGCTGTATACATTTATTCACTGCCCCCCAATAGGATAAATGATGTCATAAGGTATTACTGACAACTTGTGTCTTTCATGTAAGGCTATGAACAACTATACCGACATTCACCTCACACAACATTCATTTATCATCTTTTCTATTATGGCTACACTACTATAATTAGACTTGTGCGCCGTCAAAAAATTTGTTCCGTTTCGAAATATCCGTTATTTCGTATTTCGTGTCCGAAACTCAATTCGTTAGTTTCGGCACATTTTCGTAACTTTATGAACATTCGTTATGATGAAGTTAAAAAGCAAAAATACCTTTGTTAATATTGGAGTCGATGTGGTCGTTGTTTTTGTATCCGAAATACGAATTCCGTTAATTTCGTATTTCGTACGAATATCGATTCGTGACTAAACGAATCGCACATGTCTATTGGATATAGTACTTGCAGTTCAGTGTAAAGTAATCGGCATTGGATATAGTACTTGGAGTTGTGGAGATAGTGGTCCAGCAGTGCCACACAGTGGACCTCAATGGTATGGCAGGCCACGTTGTTTCCTCACAAGAGGGAAGTGAGGGTTGAGGATATTGCAGGGTTCAGTGAGAGGCTTCCGTAGCTGTAGAGGGACAGGGGGATGAGAGGCAGCTGGCGGCCACTGTGGATGGGGCTCTGTCGGGCCCAACAGTGAGGGAGGTTCGGTTGCGAGCCGCGGAGGAACTTGCCTGGCGTTAACACACTTGCACGAACGCCAGGCAAGTGAATCCGTCGGCTAAAGCTGACTAAGGGGGAGAAGCCCCCAAACGTCGACTCCGGTGACGTCGTTGGGTCCCCGACGGAACTCAGAGACGCGCCGGGACCGAAGGACGGGTGAGTCCGTTACAGAAAGGAGGCGGACACTCAGTATTTGGTGGGACATTCACACAATACTACATCTGTGGCTTCAATTCCAAAACAGACCCAATGATAATTGCTAACACACACACAATGCTCATGCACAGTGATGAATTGAGCCTCTGCTCTTTTAAATGACCCTCCTTATGTCCCCCCATCCCTCCCGGGTTACCTGCTTTCTGAGCGCTCCTCCAGGCAGGCTTTCTGTCCTTCTCCATGTTGTCTCTGCTCTCATATGATGTTCTGTGGTCTCCCCAGCTGGAGGGGAAGAGGTAGTGAGACCTGAGAGCTCCTCTGTGTCTACAGACTGTGGTCAGCTGTGTACCGGGACAGTAAGAACAAGAGTGTGACGTATATTAGAGACAATGGAGATAATTTAATAAAACAAATGAACCGGAGCAGAGATAACAGTGATACGGTGCACTTGTACTGTGGCCACACATAGCACACAGATGCATACATGATCCTTGACCCTTTCTATAAGATCATACAGTGATGTTCGGGGGCCCCTTCACACTACTGCATTGTCCTGCAGTTGTAAACAGGTTGATCTGTGCTTCTGGAGAGAGGTAGTAATTGGTGAACAGAATAAAATTAATTAAAACTAAATAAATGAAAAAATGTATGTATATATATATATATGAAAACCCAAAGCTGCGTTTTCATTGATCATTGTCCTGCAGTTACCGCATGCATGTTATAAACTGCATGTCAACATGTGTTGTGTCAAGCAGCCCATTAGCTTTGTTGTGTAGGTCCGTTGCCTTGGTGTGTTTGAAAGCCATTTAGAATTTTAGAATTATCAGTGAAAACCACTTCACATTATATCACTTATATTAACAACACCCCTCTATCCACTAAAAATAAATGTTAGGTATACACCAGTTAGGTCTATTATCCATGATTAAAACTAACCTGCTGCTGGCCAATTTTTAACAGCTGCAAGTTGATTTTTTTTTTGTATCAATGCACCATGGCCCCCATGTCTGTTCCCAGCTCCCCATGTCTTTTTTTGACAATAGTTTGCATATTAGCTCTAAAAAGAGACAGTACTGACTAACAAGAT